CTTGTAACGATATGATGCCGTCGCCCAAATACTCCTTAAAGCAAGAACATCACTTTGTTAATTTTAAACAATAAGAACTTAATGAGACAGAGAACATAACTTAATGTAAAAACTTGTACTTAAAAATTGGCATACATGATTAAGCAATGCTGTATAGAAAAAGAGCTATATGAATAACATGCATTCACCACAATTGATTGGAATTTCAGCCTCCAGGATTTACTTGCTGGCTATTTTAAGTTTGAAGCTTCTCTGCAGGCACAAATTGAATAGGATGTTCCTGTTTTGTAAACTCCTGAATGTTTAGGACCTGGGAATGGCTTCTCCAGGAGTCTTCTGGCCACAGGCGTCTGCCACCATGATCAACTTTAGATTTACATTCCTTTTTGCAGTGCCAGCCTCTTTGGCACTTAGGACATATTCCTGGGGAGTGACTGTTAGAAGTATCAGCGTAGTATCTTTGAGTTGTAGGAAGCATCCTGCAATTTTTTCTCAGGTGTCCTGGCTTGCCACAGTTAAAACATTTAGCATTAATTTGCTTTTGAATGGCAAAAGTTTCAAGTGCTGCTAGGCGGGCACGGTGCTTAAATGTGCCTATGTTGCGACAGGCTTTGAGGTAACCCAAAAGATCTTCCTTCTCTTTTATGGGACGAATAACAGCCTGGCAATCCTCGTTTGCATTCTCAAAAGCCTGTTGCTTTAATAACAATTTCCTAGTGCCTTCTCCTCTAACTTGTTTTTCTATGGAGTCTGCCATTTGGTTGTTGTCATGCAAATACTGTCCAATGAACTGCAAACCTGTGCTCGCTGACCTTCCAGGCTCACAATGTCCTCCTACAGTGCATGTTTAAAATGTACATATAATGGCCCTGGCAATCAGTCAACAAATACTTGTTGAACTTTTGCTAACACCAGGTACTGATCATACTATATTCAGGACATATCAAATATTGGGCCGTGGACATGCTTTTTACTACTAAGCAACATTCTCCTGGACCTTGACTACTTTTGTCAGCCAGCTGAGTGAGACAGATATGGAATTGTCAGGCCAGTTTTTTGTTGGCTTTGATTTGCTACAATACAAATGCCAACCCCTGGAATGTCTGAAAACACTATTTACTGAGAGCAAGGGGTGGAGCTTACAGCAGTCTGGCCTAGGCTGAACCATGTGGACTCCTTACCCAGTATTTTTTGTCTATATGAAGTCTTGGTAAATTTAAATAATCTTTATTTGAAATATGCTTCTACTTTAAATACATTTCAGTGAATTTTTTTTCTTGTTTCTTTCAAAGTAGCAGTAGAATTCACATTTAAGACCACCTGCTTGTCTGGCTCTAATACTTTTTTGAGAAACTCACAGTCCCTTGTTTTTTATTGTAATAAGTTTTTCTAGACACTTAGGAAGAAAGAAAGAGGGATTGCTAAAACACCTGAAATAGAAATAAAACAGATGGGTTTGACATTTTAATTTATGGTCAATAGGTAATCTGATCCTTCAGCCTTAAAACTTTTGGCTCAGCATTCTTTTGCCAGAACCAGGTACCTCAGAAGACCTCCACAATTATTCTGAGAAAAATTCTATTCCCATTCAGTCCTCTAATGTCATTAAACTAAGAAATGTTAAAGCAAAAAACAAACAAACAAAAACACCAAATTTGGAAGAGACGAAAATGTTAATAAATTGAGCATTTCATATACTTAAGGTTATGGTTTGGTTTTTTAGTACAGAACTTAGAGGTCAGCATGATAGCTCAATTAGCCTGCAAGCACCAGAACCCCATATGGGCACTAGTTCATGTTCTGGCTGCTCCACTTCCCATCCAGCTCCCTGTTCGTGGCCTGAGAAAGCAGCAGAGAATGGCCCAACTCCTTGGGACCCTGCACCTACATGGGAGAATTGGATGGGGCTCCTGGCTCCTGGTTCAATTTGGCCCAGTTCTGGTCTTTGCTGCCACTTAGGGAGTGAACAAGCAAATGAAAGATCTTTTTCTCTGTCTCTCCTCTCTGTGAATCTGCCTTTCTAATAAAAATAAATAAAACTTAAAAATGGTTTTGTGCTGATGAGAACATTGAGATGTGAATGTCTGTGGCGTCCAGAGAAAATGGAAAGAATGCTGGTCCTAAACACAGAGGATTTCACTGTTTGAATCCTGGCTTCTCATTACTAGCTGTTAAATTTGCACAAGCCACTTACTCTTTTTGAGCCTTCATTTTTCCATCCATAAAACATAAAGATGTATTTGTACTACCAAAGTACTTTGGCATTTCTGTGTTAAAGACATCTGCCACATTGTGTAGTAATTCTACAGCCACTCCTCACCACCCAGTGGACTGAAAGCCTCAGTTTATTGCAAACTATAAAAATACAATATAAATATAAAATATTGCCATTGGCACTGAGTATGTTCTGTTGGAAAGCGTATATGTAGAAATCTCCATTTTTCTGATATGCACAATTAGGAAGTCAAAAGAACTAGGTAGATTCTTTTGAGTCTTAACATATTAAATTTTAAATGAGTCACTTTCCATGTTGAAAGAACATGAATTAATAATCATAAATTGTTCACTACATTTCCTCCCTTTTATATACAGAAGTGCCTAGTTGGCTTTTCTCTTTTAAAAGCCTGAAATCAGATCATGACCCTGATCCCCACTGGCTCATATAGTCCTCAGAACCCAAAGTATTGGCAGAACTTGCCAACTTTATATATTAGTTAATTATTATGCATGTTATTTGTCTTATTTCTTCCCCCACCTCTGTCTTCTACTTGATGCATTTGGCTGCAGAAAGAGAGGAAGAGAGTGTCCCCCTAGTGGGCTGTCAGACCATCTAAGTATAGAAAACATTCATGGAATGGATTTTTCTGTATAAGTTGGATGAAAATGCAATTCAGTGAAATACTAGGATCTCCATTAGTGTAGACTGAATATTAAAATATTCTTACCGGGCCTGGCGGCATGGCCTAGTGGCTAAAGTCCTCGCCCAAAGCCTTGAACAGCCCGGGATCCCATATGGGTGCCATAATTTTAATCCCAGCAGCTCCACTTCCCATCCAGCTCCCTGCTTGTGGCCTGGGAAAGCAATCGAGGATGGCCCAAAGCTTTGGGACCCTGCACCCATGTGGGATGCCCGGAAGAAGTTCCTGGATCCTGGCTTCAGATGGACATAGCATCGACCGTTGCACTCAATTGGGGAGTGAATCATTGGACGAAAGATCTTCCTCTCTGTCTCTTCTCCTCTCTGTATATCTGACTTTCCAATAAATAAATAAATCTTTTAAAAATATATATATATTCTTACCATGTGAAATGGACATATTCTGGTAAGCTGTATGTAAATCAAATACTGCATTAGAAGCACTTTGGGAAGTCACTTGCTTAAACTGAAATTCTGTGGCATGTATTTTTGAAAAATGAATAGAAATATATAACTTCTTTGCTCAATTCTGAATTTTCCAGTAGTGGGTTTGCTTGAAATAACTACCATTACCACCTCCAATTTTATGAGGGGCCTGTTCAGTGTATTTGTTAGCTTGTGTTTTTTATTTATTAAATATTCTTTACTAGATTGCAGAGGTAAATAAAGCAATACATATGGCTGGGAGGCAGGCAAAAAACAGATTTATTCTGATAATGCAGTTGTACTGAATGCCTAAAATGTACCAGGTGTGTGTTAAGTGCTTATCATATACAATAAATAAAGCAAGGTCTGGGAGCTTACATTTTGATGAATTGTTTCATATTTAGTATTTAGTTTTAAAGAAAGCATAGCTAATCAGTCAGTCTGTAGCTTGAAAAAAAAATAGAGGCATTTTTATTCTGGAGGACTAACCCTTATCGATACTGTATTTCTGACCCCTATCAATGCTGTGTTTCTCTGTAACAGAAAACATTCTTCCAGGCCTCTGTATTCAGGCTGCCAAGTCTCTTAAGATATTGTTTCCCAAAAAAAATCCAGATATCATGCTGTGCCTACCCTGGCATATTACTTTATCTTCTGTTTCATCTTGAACTTTTGGGTGATTTAAAATTTAAGAGAAGCTAGCATTATTGCATAGCCAGTAAGCCACCTGCAATGCCAGCATCCCATATGGGTGCCAGTTCGAGTTCTAGAGTCCTGGTTGCCTCACTTACAATCCAGCTTCCTGCTTATAGACTAAGAAAAACATTAAAAATGGCCCAAGTGTATGGGCACCTGCACCTGTGAGGGAGGCTGTCGGTCTGACTTCCAAATAAGTAATTTAAAAAACTCTTTTAAAAGATTTTTTAAAATATTGCTTGCTATTTATGAAAAAGACAATCCTTATAATGTCACCTCTAGAATTAATAAAGTAAGATTTTAAGTCTTCAGTGACAAGTCATAATTGTTAGTTGAGCTAGTCAGTTCTTAACATTTATTTATAACTCACTGTTTGCCTGACCAGCTTGGTAAAGCCTTTGGAGTCATTCTTCTACTTAAGTCTAGCAATCTGAGGAAAATTATTTTATCACTTCATTACAGATGATGAAGTAGAATTCAAAGAATTTAAATAATTTGCTCAAGATTACAAACATTGAGAGTTGAGATTCTAATCCAGCTTTGTTCATGTTCTTTGTTATAATTTTTAGTCACCTGACTAGCCAGGGCTGGGCCAAGCCAAAGCTAGCAGCTGGTACTTCAGTTCAGCTCTCTCATGTGGGTGTTAGGATTCAAGCCCAGGCATGTTGATTTGGGAAGCAGGCATCCCGAGCAGAGTCTGCCCTCAGTACCTGCGTCACCTGATCTTAAAGGTTGCCTTGCCAGTAACAAACTAGCCCCCAGTTAAAATGGAGCTGCAGTGTCATAATAAACCTGACTTAATAAAAGAACAGTATAGTTGGCAGATGCAAATTTGGTCTTTGTCCTCCCAGAATTAACTTTTATCAAGCCATCTTTTTTTCTACATTTGATCAGCTTTTCATTTTTGAAGCCACAAGAAAACTTTGTAATTATTAATGAGTGTTCTTGCTTTTACTTTTAGTGGAATCTAATCAGAAAAACTCATTTCAAGAAATCCCCAAACTCAATGAAGACCTACTCACCAAGCAAAAGCAACTTGAAAAGATTGAATCTGGAGAGCTGGGCATAAGCAAAATCTGGATAAACATCACGGAAATGAATAAGCAGGTAGCAAAAGTGTGATTTTATTTCTGCCTAAACTTTCACTATTTATTTTGGGTGGTTATTTGTTTCATATAAATTTCTCAGTGTGAGAAATTCACTTCAGGTTGTTTTTCTTCTTCACTTCGAGTTTTTCATACTGTGATCCCAGAATGTTAAAATAGAGTTTAGCATTTGTTAAAAATGTTAAATGGTTGTGCATTACTAATTACTTAAAATGCTAGCCCTTTCTGCACACACACACACACACACACACACACACACACACACACACAAAAGAATAATTAAACATAATTCCAAGCAGACTAGAGAAAGTTGGAAATTCTTGAGGATTTTTCCTTTGGGGCAGGAAGGAGTATTAATTAATGCCCAGGAATAATGGACAACCTCTTTTTATTAGATAATGAAATGTATCTTTATTTAATAGAGTTTACAAATTTACAGATGAAGTTAACAGTATAGTGCCATACACTGAAAAACAACAAATCAGGATCCATCAACAACTAATGATAGTTGCTCTGGTTTAATAGCAGGTGGTAGAGTAGGTTAAATGCCTTGACCAGGCAAGTAAGCCTAGGACATAAGCATTTCCAGTCACTACATGGCCAGAACTTAGCACTGATTGATAAAAAAGGGACTCTGCCAGATCAGAAGGGCTTATTCTGACGGTGCTTTCCAAGCATCCTGTGTATTTAATGGTGCTGTAGTATTCACTGAGTAACTCCAGCTGCTGAATTCAGTTTTTCCACTTAGGTTAGAAAAGAATGTGCATTGAAAAGGAAACTTAGTTGCCAAGTGAACAATATACATACATGCAACAGCAAAGATGACCTCAAAATAGGAAGTCTTCCTTGTTGGGAGTAAGATGGTATTCTCTTCTGAGTAGAATTGGGGAATTCAGAAGGAGCAGTGGCACTGTACTAGAAGAAAGTACTCAAGGCATTTCTGAAGCTGTATCTTTGAGCAGTGGTTTGGGAGTGTAGCAGTTTAGCATTTAAAACCAAAAAATCATTACTCAGTAAATATATACATACTTATATGTTATTATTTTAATGCATTCCCCAAAATCTCATGTATTGGACCTTTTTAAAAAAGATTTACTTATTTTTATTGGAAAGACAGATTTCCAGGGAGAAGGAGAGACAGAAAAAGATCTTTCAGCTGCTGGTTCACTTCCCAAATGTGTGCAAAGGCTGCAGCTGAGCCAATCCAAAGCGAAGAGCCAAGAGCTTCTTCTGGGTCTCCCACATGGGTGCAGGGGTCCAAAGATTTGGGCCATCGATTACTGCTTTCTCAGGTCACAAGCAGGGAATTAGATCTGAAGTGGAGCAGTTAACCAGCCACCAGGTATTAGAAATTTAATACCCAAATTCATATGTTAGTGTTATTTAGAGATGAGCCTATGGGAGGGTACTTGGGATTAGATAGATGTGAAGTCATGGAAGCAGGGCCTTGTGATGCTATCAGTGGCTTGATAGGAAAGGAAAGAGAGACCTGAGCTGGCACTTAGCTCTGTGTTATCATGTGATACTCTCTGCCATGATAGGATGTGGCAAGGAGGCGCTCACCAGATGCTAACACCATGCTCTTGGACTTCCCAACCTCTAAAACGTTGAGCTGAAGAGGTCTACTTTTTATAAATTTTCCATTCTCCAGTATTCAGTTGAACAACATGAGGAAAACAGACTAAGGCATTGTATGTAACTGAAATAAAAGTTTATTTGTTAAGCTTACCCTTAATATATCTATTAATCTTACCCTTAATATATATGATGACTCATGGTATTTTATTTTCTGGTCAATTCTGTCTCACTTTTATAAATTATTTCATGAAATAGGGTATAGTGTTGTGGCACATCTGGTTAAGCTGCTGTTTGAGAAGCCAGCATCCCCTATCTGAGTGCGATTCAAGTCCTGGCTCCAGTTCTGATCCAGATTCCTACTAATGTGCTTGGGAAGGGAGTGGAAAATGGTCCAAGTTCCCGAGTACCTGCTCCCCATGGGGGAGACCAGGATGCAATTCCTGACTCTGGCTTCAGCCTTACCCTGCCCTGTTTCCCTCTTCCACTTAATGATACTCTACCTTTCAAATAAAATAATTACATCTTTAAAAAATTGTAGCAGGCACTAGTTATCATTTATCCTTGAGCTCTCAATAATTAAGGAATAACAAATATTTTTTCAATTTTTGCTGTAAGAATAAGCTAGTCTTACTTACATTCACACAGCAAATGAGCAGATTGACCAGAGATTACATTAGGTCAAAGTGGACCATGTAAAAGTGCTAAAAGATAATTTTGGCATCTTTGTAGCCCTTTGTAATTAGCTAACGCTAACGTAGGAGTTACTCTCCTGACAGAAGAAGATTGTTAGCATGGAGATGCAGTGCCAGCTATCTATTTCCCATCTCCTTGTAAACTGACATTATGGAAATGGTCAAAAAGGAATTTGGTGGTTAGTTAAGAAGAAACAGATTTTCAAACCTTTAATACATATTGTGGACTCTGAATTCTCTTTAACCAGGGTTCTATACATAAGAAAATCCTTTTGTTTTGGTCTGACCATTATTTTTAATAAAAGAAATACCTAAGAAGGCAGGTATATAGAAGAATTTACTTCTGTCACAGAACTTTCAATTTGAAACTGGGGACAATTACGTTGGCACCCTTCCAACAGGAGCTTCAGTATACCTTCAGGGACACTGGATGTGGAGGAATTCTCTGCAGGGTAAATCTGTGAGGGCAGGTGACTATGAAGCTGAGCCTCTGATTGTTTCAGAAGGAAGTAGAACACTTTGTGTCTCAATGACTTTCTAGAATTGTTATATGTCTCTGATGGTCTGTTCATATAATAGACATTGGTCCTAAGTCAAAAAAAAATATCATAATAAAATTAGTACTTAGCTGGGTTTCTGTATCTAAATGTAACTGTCAATTGATATGCTTTTTTTAAAGAATTATTTTTGTTTTTATTGTGAAGTCAATTATATAGAGTGGAGGAGAGACAGAGAGGAATATCTTCCATCCAATGATTCATTCCCCAAGTGACCGCAACGGCCAGAGCTGCACGATCTAAAGCTAGGAACCAGGAGCTCTTCCATATCTTCCTCACGGTTGCAAGGTCCCAAGGCTTTGGGCTATCCTCAACTACTTTCCCAGGCCACAAGCAGGGGACTGGATGAGAAACAGGGCTCCTGGGATTAGCACCTGCACCCACATGGGATCCCAACGCATTCAAGGCAAGGACTTTAGCCATTAGGCTACCACGCCAGGCCCAGTTCACATACTTTTAGTGGCAGTTTTTTTTATTGGAAAGTCAGATTTACAGAGAGAAGGAGATACAGAGAGGAAAGATCTTCTATCCAGTGATTCACTCCCTAAATGGCTACAACAGCCCAAGCTGAGCTGATCTGAAGCCAGGAGTCAAGAGCTGCTTCTGGGTCTTCCACAGGGTGGGTACAGGGTGAAATATATAAACAAATATATATTTGTGTGTGTGTGTGTGTATATATAAACAAATCTTTAGTAGTTTAAATATCTTTTTTTGTTTTATTAGTGAAACATTTTATACTACCTCCTGACATTATAGGAAGTCTCTGCCTCTTCTTTAAAGACCTTTCATTCATCAGACGTGTATGAGCTGTGTCTGTGTAGCTAGACTTTGGATTCTGTCTTCTACTCAGGGTACTAGAACAAAATTCCTTAGACTGGGTAACTTATAAACAACTTAGTTCTAGAGCTGTGAAGTCCAGGATCAAAGGGCCAAGCTGGTTCTCTGCTTCATAGCTGATGATGTCCTGCTGTATGCTCATGTTGCAAAAAAGGACAAACAAGCTGTTTCTTGAGCCTCTTTTATAAGGGCATTCACATTCATGAAGATGGATCCCTCCTAAATCACCTCCCAAAGGTTCCACCTTTTAATATCACTACCTTGGGCTTAGGTTTCAACATTACCAATTTAGGGAGGAACAGGCATGTATGTTTGTAGTTAAGAAGCCCATAGCCCATATCAGTACCTTCTTGGTCGGCTTCTGAGCTTGTAACTCTGATTTCCTGCTAATGCAAGCCCTGAGTAATGATGGCTCAAGTGACAGTTCCTATCACCTGCTTGGGAGACCTGGATTGTGTTCCTGGCTCCCAGCTTTGGTACCATCCTAGCCTTGGCTATTGTGGACATTTGGGAAGTGAGCCAGTGGATGGGAGTGCTATGTGTATGTGTGTGTCCTCTGTTTTTCTGTCTCAGTCTCCCCCATCTTCCTGCCTCTCAAATTAGGGAGAACACATTCAGACCATGTAGAATCCCTCCCTTAAAGATCTTAGAGTCAAATGGAAGAAACAGAAACAGTAGTATAAGTTTGATAACAGTAAGAAATAAATGACTTGTGTTAGAGTTTTTAAATACACATCTAAGCCTGAGATCACATAAGGTTTACTGGAAATCTTAACCTGAGTCCTGAAGGGCAAATAGGAATCAGCCAGGTAGATTCTGAAGAGAGAGAGAAAGGCATTCTAGGTAAAATCACTGCCGTTGATTTTCATAAATTGTCAGCTTGCCTACTCACCAAAATGTGTTTGTGAACCCAGTGTGTATGTGTGCTTTTGTTGTCATTCACCAGCATGTGCACAGTGTTGAAATGTTTCAGCTACCAACAACACATTTTTATAGCTGAGGCTGGATGAGGTAGCATACTATAGTCATGTTCCAGCTCTTAAGCTGTAAACAAGTATCTTTTTTGCAGCATACTTAATGCCACATTTTGTGTTTTTTGTTGGTTTCACTGTTTAAAATGTCCCCTTAGGCTTAGTGCTAAAGTGCCACCTACTGTTATGTGCAAGGAAACCATGTTGTGCCCTGTGGAGAAGATATATGTCTTAGGTTTCCTTCAGACATGAGTGACAGTGCTGCTGGCTGTAAGTTCAGTGTTGGCGAGTTAACAAAATGCATTAACACAGCTAGACAGAAACACACATAAAATGTGAGGTTATGTGTTGTATTAAGTTGTTGAC